CCAGTAGATACCCGTATGACATGCATGCAGGCATATATATGTGTATGACCTGGGACTAGTACATAGCTGCTGGATCCTATCTGTATAAAGGACAAAAATGGTGGGTAATATCCCTTAGACTTACAAGATCCATGAAAATACCAGCCCTAAGCTGTTCTACAAGCCAGGGATTCCCTACCCCCAAGTTGGCAGTGCCAGTCCTGCCCACAGCTCATCTTCTATTATCAGGAAGGCCCTGTTCCTCTGTGAATTTCCTTTCCATTCATTTTCAAATGACTTTTCTGATATGAGCATTGTTGAATATGCACAAGAAAGAGCAAGATAGAGGCATAGTGGGTGTATGGATATATTTGCATAAGTATAAATACAGTATATGTGCCCACATTTAAATGATGTAGTGATAATATTGTGTTGCTTTCCCAGAGTGAAAGCTAATTAATTCAGCTATTGAGATGATAATGATTTCCTTTTCAGTTAGTACCAGAGGTAAAAAGAAAGAAGAAAACTTGTAGAATTGTTCTATGCACCCTTCCTTTGATTCATCCTGGAAATAAGGCATTTCATTCTCTTGGCTATTGGGCTGTCTGTCAGGATCTATGGCAGTTTCAAAGGGAATCATTCCGAGGCAGACTGGGAAGACTGACTCATGCAGGCTAAGGTGTTCATTGAGCTCATGGTTTGGCACTTCCAGAAAAAGTTCTTTTTGCTTTACTCACTAAAAATGCACACTTTGTTATTTACACTCTCAATATCAGTGCTAATCTGAAGCATAACGTGTTCTTTTTTTAAAAGATTTTATTTGGTTGGATTTAGTATTTATGGAAGTGTTAGGATCTTCCCTGCTGAAATTCACAGTGACTGGCAGATGAGCCCAGGGCTAAGTCAGCCTTGTCATATCTACCTTTTCCTGCAGCTTCTGTTTTCATATTTAGTTAGTTACCCAAGGCCAATGTGTTCTCTCCATTTCTCTTCAGGTCTCCCCCAGTCTAGTCTAGGTGTCTCTAACCTCTCAATCATGGTGTGGTCTAGTCTAGGTGTCTCTAACCTCTCAGTCATGTTGTGGTGACAGTTTCCAGTCTCCACTTTCATCTTGTTCTTCAAGGATTTTCTCCACATGCAGGTTAGGCCACACCTTCTGCCAAATTCTTCAAGGACCCTTCCTTTTCTACATAGCAAAGATTCCTTTGTGTGGCTTTCAAGGATATTTCATATTTATGCTCTTGCTTCAACCCTTTAGCCACCCCTCACTAATATTCCCAGATTCCACAGTGTTACCTGGATGGACTCCCTGCTTTTCCTCAGAGCTTCTGTCACACTCTGCCTTGCTCATTCTCAGAAGGTCTCTCCCCATTCAGGGTACATGTTTCAAAACCATTCTGTAAGTCCTTGTTCATAAAGTCTTCTCTGATTCCCCTACCTGGGATTAGGGTCACGCCAGCTCAACATTCGATTCTTTTCCATTCATAGGCATTGGGAAATCCTTATACTATAGTTAATTTATTGTAGTAATTTTGAATGATAGCTGGATAAGTTTTTATGATAAACATACAACTTTCCATGTCTAAAGTGTAATTGCTCCCCTCCCTCTAAAATGTGACACAACTTTTATAAGCATTTAGCATGTCCCAAAAGTTTGATCTATATTCCAATAGTTTTTTCTTCTGTATTTTAATAATGTATTACTTATTTAGCTACTTGTCACCCAATCTTGTATTATTCTCCAAATTTACTTCTTCATATTCCCAAATTGAGAGTTCTGAAGACAGGAATATCTTACTCCTCTCAGTACCTGGATAGTAAGAGAATGAAGATTTCTGTTAGTGCTCAATGTTAAGCTGTTCCTGCACCCCAGGGAGGCCACTATGGCTGAGCAACTGAGAATGGGAGCCTTAGAGCATGACTTTCTGGGTTTGAGTTCTCCTAGTGCATAAAATCATGACCAAGGTATTTAATTTCTTGGCATCATTTTTCTTTCCTTTATAATATATGGGGAGAGAATACTATGTTCATCATAAGACTGATATTGTGACTAAGTAACTAAAAGGTGGTAAAGTGGTTGGAACAATAGAGTGTAAATAATAAATGTTTGCTATTATTCCAACATCTGTTATCAGCACCACCCTCTAACCAACTGAACTAAGTGACCACATTGTTCCAACATCAGTTAAAAAAACAACTTGTGTCTTGGACAAGAGTTGTGAAGTTAGTGTAAATTCATGCCAACAACCTCACACAGGGAGACCTCTGTGGAAGGGACAGAGAGTTGTTCTGTTTTCTTTCTGTCACTGTGCTAAAACACTCTGATCAAAAGCAACTTGGGGTAAGAAAGGTTTATTTCCTCCCATGCTGCTAGGCCACAGTCTATCGTTGAGTGAAGTCAAGGCAGGGACTCACAACAAGCCTGCTTGCTGTTTCCTGCAGTGTTCCCTTCAGCAGAGAACCTAGTCATAGCCAGAGAAGTATAATAGAAACCTAGCTTGCTGGATTACTTCCTGGCTTGTTCAGGCTCACCTTTGGCTAGTTTCCTTATACAACCCAAGACCATCTATCTGTTCAGGGAATGGTACTACCCACAGTAGGTTGGGCCCTCCTACCTCAATTAACACTTAAGATTCCTTCATAGCCATGCCCACAGACCACACTAATAAAGACAATTACTCAACTGAGACTCTTTAAAAATTCTGGTGATTCTAGGTGGTGTCAAATTGACAGTTAACATTAATTTGGACAGGAGTTAAACCATGAAATCACTAGATACAGCTATGAGCTAGAACTGGAACAGCTTTGCTCTTGTCAAGGAAGTACCCCAGTGGTGGAAGGGTTCTTTCATAGCCCAACTCAAGAGGACTGTCAACTTTGAAAGCTTGTCACATACATCCAGCTTATAGCACAGTAGTGCTCCTTTTCCCCAGTGGCTAAATTCCAAGATATCCAGTGAAAGCTTTGTGTGAACCATAAACTTAACTATCCAGACATGAGTTAGGCAAGGAAGATGTTATCAGCAATAGTCATTGACAAAATAGAATGATATACAGTAGTAACAGTTACACAAATGAGATCTCGAAGTACCACTGGGTGCGTGATCTGTACAACATGGATTTCCTGGCTAAAGAGATGACTCACATCCTGTGTAAGAGTTCCTCACACTACTCAGAAAGATATACAATTTCAAAATGTATAAAGGGCTTATTTCTGGAATTTTCCATTAGTATCTTTGAATCATGGTTTACCACGTCATGAAAACCTCAGAAACTGAAATTGTGAATAAGTATGTAAGCTGCTATAGCAAGCAAGAACGAGTTTCTCTGTTACACGTCCTTGATCACCACCAACTAAATCCGGAATTATTGGAATCTATGGTTGACCAGTTGGAAGAGAACAAGTAGAAGTGAGACATGAAGGGAGAAGGAAGTCGCATCCCCTTCCTGGCTTTAGGCATCGTACCTGAACTGGCTGCAGCTGTCCTGTATCTTCTCTGGGGGAGATATTGCCTTTTAAATCAAGCGTGGCACTTTTATTGTTAGATAAGGCTGTTGTATTATGTGCCAAGAAACTAAATCTTTGAATACGATTTTTTCCTAAATGCCTGGTAAACAGCTACACGCTTTCTGGCTTTTTGCTTATTGCTCACTTTGTAAGTTTTTAAAAAATGATTTTGTATCTCATCTTATGTGTTGTATCAGTTTTGTCCACATGTGTGTATGTGTACCACCTGCATGTCTTGTGCTCACGGAAGTAAAAAGAAGATATCAGATTCCTGGAACTGGAGTTATGGATGGCTGCAAACCACCATGTGAATTTGGAGAACCCAGTCCCAGTCCTCTGCAAGAGCACCAGGTGCTCTTGACCACAGAGCCATGTCTCTCGCCCCTCACTTGCTGTGTTACCATTCCCTGCACTTGTTATGCCTCAGCACAGCATCTGGTCCGTATCCATACAACCCTTCGTCTTTACTTGTGTACTTACTTGCATGCATTTGCTTTTGGTCAACCTTTAAACTCTTGGAGGGCCGGGATGGATTGCTTGCCTTTATAGTACCAGCACCTAGTACTTAAGCAGGTAATTGTCCCCCATAAAGATAAATGAAAGTAATATATCTAAAATAAAAAAAAACTGATATTTTTCCTAAGAGAAGCCTTAATTCCCACCTTTCATTGTTTTAAAGAAATAAATTTAAAATAACTACCCTCTCTTTTCATATAAATTTTTATTTAAATTAAAAACAACCTTATTTTACATATCAATCCTGTTTCCCTCTCCCTCCAGTCCTCCCATGCCCCCCCCACCAACCCCCATCCTACCCTTTATCCACTCCCCAGGAAGGTAAGGCCTCCCATGGAGGATCACCAAAATCTGTCACATCATTTGGGGCAGGGCCTAGGCCCTCTCCCATGTATCTAGGCTGAGAGAGTATCCCTCCATAGGGAATGGACTCCCAAAGTCCATTCGTGCACTAGGGATAAATACTGGTTCTACTGCCAGAGGTCAGATCTCCTGAGCAAATTGGGAGCTGGGGTGGGGTGGGGTGGGAGTGAGATGGGGGGTAGGGGTAGGTAGGAGGAAGGGGAAGGGAGGAGAACATGAGGGACCAGGAAGATTGAGTAGAGGGAAGAATAGAGAAGGAGAGCAAGAAAAGACATACCTTAATAGAGGGAGCCATTATAGGTTTAAAGAGAAATTTGGCACTAGGAAATGTTCAGGGATCCACAAGGATGACCCCAACTAAGAATCCAAGCAATAAGGGAGAGGTTACCTTAAATGCCCTTCCCCTATAATGAGACTGATGACTACCTTAAATGCCATTCTAGAGCCTTCATCCAATAACTGCCCTTTCAACAATAGTGCAAGACAAAGTCTCCATTGCTCCATATTCACTGCTCCAGACTCATCGGTGATCCCCAGCAGTTCATGAAAAAAACATTCTGACGTATCTGAGTCCAGATGTATTTTTTGAAAACGTGTTAGGGATCTTCTCACACTTTGCAGTGTTTCTCCCACAGGTTTCTTCAGAAGAAGCATAACCAAAAATGCCGTGTACAAGTGTAAAAATGGGGGCAACTGTGTGATGGACATGTACATGCGACGAAAGTGCCAGGAGTGTCGACTAAGGAAGTGCAGAGAGATGGGGATGTTGGCTGAATGTATGTATACAGGTATCCGCTTCAAGCAATTAAATTCTACTAACACCTCTTAAGCAGGCCGTTGCCAGGTAACTCAGATCACCCTTATTAAAGAAGGAACCTGCGGAGCCATCTCAGTTCTTGACAAGGGCAATGACCCACTGAATTGATTAAACTGCCACATAAACAACATCTTATTCCTCTGAAAGAAATGCCTGGGGTTTGTTTTGTTTTTTTGTTTTCCTGTGTTGTAAGGAATTTATAGAAGGAGTGATGTGTTGTTAACATATTGTTGAAATAAGTTGCTTTAATGAGCTTATACGATGATATTCTGAAAGGGTCCTCTAAATTTGATTTTAATGTACCTCTTATTTGTTGCTTAATTACCATAAAAAATTATAGTTGTGGGACAATAACTGCCTCTGAATTATCTAAATATGGTTTTAAACTAAATCCTTTTATTAAGAATTCATCTCCTCTTAGTGTAGCTGTGAGCCAATTTGTATAGGTTTACACAGGAAATTAACTACTGTGAGTTTTAATATAATTTTGTCCTTCAATCTGATAAAGGGACACTGTATTAAACACTGGCTTTATGAGGAATCGCCGTCTTCATCAGAAATTGGAATGCATGTTAGTATAAAACATCATTAATTTTTCATCCTACAGCCTACTCAGATTTAGAGATATGCCTTGTTCCTCCTCAAAACAAACAGGCAAACAATTGTCACCAAGGGGATGACAATATTCAGGAAGGAATGCCACAAGAGACAAAAGCCAGTGGAAGGTGACTCCAGTCTTATTGTTCCCAAACTGTATGGGTGACTGGGATGTACCCAGGGAAACAATGTGTGCAGGATGGAGAAAAATCAGTCTGTGTAAATAAATAATTGGGCCCTGGATGGATGAAAGTTTTATACCGGCTGATCACAGTCACATTTTAGCATACGTGAAATAAGAACCTTCACCGGGTGGCGGCTGCAATCCAATCTTGCAATGGAAATACTTTGACACAGGGTGGTTCATGTTGTTCATTACTTAAATATGAACGTGCTCCATCTGAGCTCACTGTGTAAGAGACCCTCCCCATAAAAGTCCAGAGCTTTGTTTCTAAGCACAAAAATCTTCCTGTCAGAGATGCAGCTGTTTCATGAGTTTCTGCACAGTGAACTTCCTGGAGCTGTGTTTCATTATCATTGAAAGAACAAAGACATCCAATAAATATGGGAGGTGCTTCAGCATTGCTTGTTAAAGCTCAAAGTATGAGCAATGATGACATTATGTGGTCATTATAGAGCAATCCAGCCACTTTGCGTTAGTCCTGTTTCTATCATTATTTAAAAATACCTGGGAGAATTATTAAGAGAAAACATTTCTTCTGGCTCATGATTTTAGAAGTCCCATGGCTGGTTCCCACAGTGTTTAAGCTTCTGGTAGAGACGCTGCAGGGCAAAGGCCAGGAGCTGATAACAGAGCACAAAAATTACCTCATGACTTGGAAGAAGAAAAAGGGAAGGAGGAAGAAGCTGGAGTCCCTGGGTCCCATCTGAGGACACACCACTAATGACCCAGAGATCCTCTATGAGCCCCCTTCACCCCTGGTAGTACAACACTAGGGGCTTCTGGGGACCAAGCAATCGCATTCCTTGAGCGTTGTAACTTTTATATTTTTAAATAACATGTGTGGATTAATAGGATTTAAATTTTTTCCAGGAGATGTTCATGTTTGTTTTATTCAACAAGTTTAATGTAAAACTGGATATGATTTTATTGAATAGTATTAATAAAAGTGAAAATAATAGTAATTGTATGTTTGGAAGCTAGCTTCCCTGGTCTTCTAGACCAGGGACAGGGAGAGTGCCACTTACCATGCCACTGACTGAACGTCTTGCACTTTGTATAATCCTGCAGTGTCACAAATTATTTACCAAGCCCAGTTTTATTTTTTAAGTACAGTCACATTTAAGCAAAAGTGTGCAGCAGATACTTATGTTTTACAAATGAAGACAAAGACTTGCAAATGTCAAATGCCTCACTCAAAACCAAATCTTAAAAATTGGCCTTTTATTTTTACTTAAGAGTTGTTTTTATATGTTTCTGTGAATGCATGCTGTGTATGTACGGTGCCTGAGGAGACCAGGAGAGGGTGTGGGATACACACACACACACACACACACACACACACACACACACACAATGTGGGTGCTGGGGACCCAGCTCCTCTACTCCTCTGTTCCTCTGAAAGAACAGCAAGTATTCTTAACCATGAAGCATTCACTGCACTGGCCTTCTCCTTTTAAATGTCAGATGATCGAGAATTAACCCTGAGTCATCACCTGAGCAGACCACATAACAGCTGCATCAGGACCACACACCCAATAGGATTTGCTATGCTTTTTTTTTTTTTTCAGGTTTATTAACTGAAATTCAGTGCAAATCTAAACGACTAAGAAAACATGTGAAGCAGCATGCAGATAAGACTGTCAATGAGGACAGTGAAGGACGTGACTTGCGACAAGTGACCTCCACGACCAAGTCATGCAGGGTAACAGAGTGATGGCGCTGCCAAAGCCAGCAGGGGTTGTGCTTCTGGGAACCTGTAGATCCAGCTGGAGGCTGAGACCTTCACCACAGCCAACTTTCCTTCTCAGTTGTGCACTGAAATGGAATCCTTCTTTTCTTTTTAATCAAGAGGGAAAGAGATGCTTTGGTGTGGAATGTTAAATAATAGCAGTGTATAAGATAAAAAAAAAGTGGAGGTCCTTCTTCCTGGGCCACTACCACCTAATGGGCTGCCAGAAGGACTGATTTAGTCTTCAGGATGGAGTTTTTTTTTTTTTTTTTTTTTTTTTTTTTTTTTTTTTTTTTTGGAGATGGCCGTCTTGGAACAACTTATTTAGACCAGGATAGCCTCAAACTCACAGAGATTCACCTGCCTCTACCTCCCAAGTGCTAGGGTCTGCCTCCAGAATTCTGGGATTAAAAACTTGTGCTCCCTGGCCTGGGCTCCACCTGGAGTTTTGATAACCATACCCCCAACTCTACCCTCATCCTTGCCCTTAAGAAGGAAAGCTTCCACTTGGGAAGTCTGGGCTCAGCAGAGGCTGAGGATTGCTCCTCAACAATGAGTAAAACAGGATACCTCACATATGTGGACCAACAAAGAAAACCCTTTTCGAGTTATCAAAAAAAAAACTCTTACAAAATCCGTCGAATAACTAAGGACAAAGTAAGGGAACAACAACCAGGCTGGTTAGACACGCACAGTAAAAAATCACAGAACATCTGGAAGGGTTCTTATGTGCTGTTAGCTGAAAAACCAAGCTACACTTTCACCTGTATTTATTTGGCAAGTGGATAACTTCATCCACTGCTAGGTTTAAAACTTATTGTTCATATTGACTTCACAGAAACTTAGCATATGAAAAAAAAATCACTCTGCCATAGATCCCCATCGGCGGTGCTTTGGTGGAAGAAAGCAAAACGTTGACACAATGGTTCATATTTCTCAAGAGACAGTGAAGAGGGAGAGAGAAGTTTGGGATCTGGGTTGAGCAGACAGACGACTGAAGTATCAGCAGACTACTTTTTTCTATAACTCAATAGATATGTAGGAGTTTTAGGCTTTGGCCACATGTTCTTTATGACAACTACATAACTGGCATTTTAACCCCAATGCAGCACAGACAATATATTGGTAAAGGAGCATGGCTACATTCCAATAAAACTTTATATTCATAAAACTGGATTTGGTTCATAGGCCACAGCTTTCCACCATATAGATATGTATGCTTAGATAGATTCTACATTTAATACACAGGAAGCTTTTTAAGGCTATGATTTAACCTTGAACTTCTACTGACTTTCAAGTGTGATTGGGCTCAACAGCCTCCATATTCATGCTACTATTTATTGCCAGGAGATACATGAAGAGAATATTGTATTGTTCATGTTTTCTAAATACGAAAACCAGCTAGTGGAAACAAATTTAGGGAAATATGTAACTGCTTGTGCCAGAACCCAGAAAAACTGACTTTCCACTATCTGAAAGCCCATAGCTCTTAAGGCCTTGAAAAATCCTTTGCTATTAGTTCATTTCAGATAAGTGTATATATGGGAATATGCATTTAACCACCCTCCCTAACACCTTCCATTTTCTTGCCAGTGTAGGAGAAAACTGAACTCACCCCAGATCAGCAGAACCTTCTGGATTATATTTTGGATTCATATAGCAAACAGAGAATGCCCCAGGAGATAACAAATAAAATCGTATGTATGCTATCTGAAAATTCACGTGTTTAAAGTCAGCATTTTCCTGGAGCTCTTAGCACCTTTAAGGTGGCGGGATTTATGTATACATGTGTTACCCAAAGCGAATGTATTGAGACTTCAAGTTATATGTTCTAATGTTTATCATCTTTGAGCAATTAAACAGAGAATTAACAGATCTATCTTGTAAATAGTAATTGATTTCCAAAGATCTGAGAGGTGTGACCCGGCTCTCAAAATTTCACTATCTAAGCCTGTTGTTTTCCTTTAATGATTTGATATTGAGTTATCCTAATCCTGTCTATTTATTAATCATTCACTTTTTTTTCTTAAAATTTAGTTAAAAGAAGAATTTAGTGCAGAAGAAAACTTTCTCATATTGACAGAAATGGCCACCAGTCATGTACAGGTTCTTGTCGAATTCACAAAAAAGCTTTCAGGTACTTTTAAAAATCATAAATATGTTCTTGAAATATGTGAAATGTGCCATGACCATATTAATCATTCTGCATACAATATTTTGTTCAGTTTTTAAAGTGTTCTTATGTGATCATGTCTATTGTCATGATTTCTTTTACTAGGTGTTTTTCCATTAGCAATTACTGGACTACATTGTACAGTTTTCCTATATTGTTGAGAGTTTCAATTCACTAAAAAAAATAAAAATAAAAATCCTATCTGACTTAATGTTTCTAGTTACTATAGACATGAAAAGTTAGAGGCGGAAAGCATATTCAAAATCATTTATAATAATTCTTCCATGGGATGAAGTTGTGGTTCAGTTGGTATAATACTTGCCTAACATTTATGAAGCTCCGAGTTTGATCCATAACACTATGTAAACTAGGCCTGATGACATGTGCTTACAAATCCTGGCACTTAGAAGATAAAAGCAGGAGAACCAGAAGTTTAGGGTCATCCTTGGCTGCATATTAAGTTTGTGGCCACCCTGGTATACATTAGAGCCTGTCTTAAAAAAAAAAAAAAAAAAAAAAAAAAAAAAAAAAAATTTTTAAAAAAAAAAAAAAAAAAAAAAAAAGAGAAAAAAAATCTTCTAAATCAATAGGTCAGAATTGAAATTTCACACAGTTGTCATTTATCCACTTATTCAACAAGAAGTGGTTGAAGCCACATTAAAGCTATTCCCTTAAAGAAGGGTAAAGGGTATTATATGCAAACACACACAAACACACATGCACACAAATGTACACACAGTGCTTGAACAGAGAAGAATTGAGTTTCAGAAGACGTTAGAGCCTTCAGAAAGGATTATATCCAAGTTAGATATTTTTTTTAAGATTTATTTTTATTGCACGTGCGTGCGTGCGTGCGTGCGTGCGTGCGTGCGTGCGTGTGTGTGTGTGTGTGTGTGTGTGTGTGTGTGTGCAGGTACCTGCAGAGACCAAAGACATGGACCTGATTTTGGATCTCCAGTACCCATCTAAATAGCCAGGTATTGGTGTTATGCTCCTCTAACCCCAGAATTGGGGAGGAAAAGACAGGAGGATCTTGGGATCTTGTCTGCCAGGACTTGAGACAGGCAGTGAGTTTGTCTCAAAAGTAAACGGAGAGTGTTTGAAGAAGACAGTCAGTGTTGACCTCTGACCTTCACAAAGCCACACCCACATGCACAGATACATACATAATCAAAAACTACATACATGAACATATATGGCAACCTTCGCGCAGGCGCGAGCACACACACACACACACATGACAGGAGAAGAAATTCAGTATGGCTATAGGATAATGTCTTTGGCATGTTCTTTGATCACATAGTAAAGCAAATTGGTACTGGGTAATAAGGGCCTAGCCATGGAATTTAGCCAATGCCCCCGGGTGGTAAAGAAGCTATAAGAAATGATGAAATTTTGGTTGCAGACAGATGGCCTTATCAGGTTTATATGAGGGGAATTGAGTGGAAAGCGACAAGAAGCAGGAGGAGTAGTTAGTCTGCTACTAGGAAAGTCTAGGGAAGAGGTTCAAAATAAAGTAATGAAAAGAGAGAAGAAGGAAACAGTGGAAGATAGAATCAAATTTCCGGAGGGGCTGATAAACACTATATGTAAGGCAAAGGAAAGGGTGTGTTCCGATGTGCTAAGCATATGAACTTCTCCAGTAAAGAAACTGGAGAGCCAAGACACATGTGCCTCATGCCAAGACCAACCTGCCTCATCAGGGTATCATCAGTCTGTCTAAGAAGTGATTGTTTCAGTGTGTGTGGGGGGAAACATTAACAAAGCTAGCCTGGGCTACTTAGTAAAATTTGTCTCAAAACAATTTAAAAATATTAGTACACTTACAATTTCATAGTATAGAGTGTAATAAATACCTTCACTAACAGACTAACACGTATTAAATTACAGAGATAACTTCTGACTTAGGTTTTTAATTAGACATGCTAATTTGCCTTCCTTTTGCCAGCATAATGCTTTTCTTTTATTAAATGTGACACAGATAGACATTAGCCTAATGAAACTCATAAAAGAGGGGGGGGGAGAAAAGTTCTCACTGTCATTGAGACTTTAATATTCTCTTGTTTCTTTACTAACAATGAAAAAGAAGCTTAATTTGTTGCATGCTAATTAAGGTGACACCTATCTTGATTCAAAACCAAGATCACACAAAAAAGAAAAACTGTGGGGAGAATAAATGGAAAATGTAGAAGACTATGGCATTTTAAAAAATTATTAGTGAGAAGATGTTTTTCAGTTCAAATGGTCAGACACTTTGGATCTGAAAACTAATAGGTGATGAGAGGCATATCAGATGTGGCTCCCTGAAAGCAATGGCATTATCTTAACTCCTCTTCATTCCCAGGGCCAGTTTCTAAGGGAGAACACAGTTAATATGAGTTCAATGAATAAAGCAGATGGGAAAAGTCTTAAGACACACAAGGAAATAAAAGACAAAAGGCTTTTGTCAATCATTTCCCCCTAGTTACAATCCTAGAAATAGTATTACAAATATCAGCAATGGTAGTATAATGCCAATATTGAAAGGGTATTTTGTGGAAAATTAGTCTTTCCATTAAGTACATCCTCTGCCAGACACTGGCCAGGGTGCTGGAGCCCCAAGAAACAGAAAGCATGGCCCTATCTGCGGTGGAGTCCTTAGGGTCTCCCGATAATGACTTTTCTTTTATGTCAAGGAGGCCAGGCAGACCTCAAAATCACGATATAATACAAGATGGCCTTGAACTTCTGATCTCCTTGCTTCTACCTAACAAGTTCTGAGATTACAGGCATGTACCCCCACATCCTATTTTAAATTTTACTTTTTGCTAGGGGAGGGGTGGGACCCAAGGCTTCACCTAGGTTTAGGCAGTCATTCTACCAACTGAGCTAACTTTCCTGCCCAGATCATGGCTGTTAATCCTTAGCATTACTGTCTTTGAATTCCCTTTACTGTTTAACCCTCTCCTAAGCCGTCAGACATTGATGCCGCACACTCTCTCTGTGTCTCTCTGTCTCTGACTCTCTCTAATATGTCAGTATGCACAAAAATTTGTGGGTTTTTGTCATTCATTCTGCTGCCCAACAAATGATGTGAGGTACCTGCTATGTGTCAGGCTTTGAGGTTCCAAAAGTCAGTAAAATAGACAGTGTGGGCTCTAAAAAGTTTGTATTCCAGCACAGGTAGCAGCCAACATGTAAGCAAGAGAATCCATTGTATCATGACAGGCAGTGGTGCATTCTATGGACAGAAATGAAATGAGAGCTTGGGGCTTTCCACAGAATAGCCTTGCAGCAGATAGCTGATGCCTGTGAGGTGGGCAGGTATGGGGAAGGGCATCTCTGAGACAACAGCACACTTTCAGATCTCATTAGAGACAGGGCCTCAGGAGGAGAAGGGAGATGGGGAGGAATTCAGAGTACTTGTTGGGGGGGGTTCTCTAAAAGTCTGGATGAGGACTTTGTGTCTTCCAGATGGTGTTCTATCCCTTGAAGCTAATACTTCTTCCTCAGTTTTGTCTGTTTCTCCACATGGCATGGTGCATACCTTAGCTCAGAAAACATACCTCAAGATGAGGCTAATGGACTTGTAGGATAGGATATGTTACTCATTCTCTCCATCGTGACTAAGCCTCAAGAGCCAGCCCAATGTTTAGGATGCATAAAGACTATTTTTCTGGCTCTGGATGTTTTTATTTTCTGAGTTGACCCTGCATGCCAGGTGTGACCAGAGTAATGACTCAGGTAGAATCTGCCTACACCTAGTTTCTGAGGGTTGCTTCATGTAAGTCAGCCTGTTACTGCCATCATGTGTGTGTGCTTGCTCTGCCCTTGGCATTTGTTCTCACTGCATTTCCTCAGCAAACCTCACTCAGTGAAGAAAAGAGTCAGTGCCTCTTTGAGGGCTTCAATAGGTAATTCAGTTGAGTCCACTAGAAGACCTACTGTAAAACAGCTACAGGATCTGTTCATGGATCGATGTGGGTGATGGCAATGATGACATCTTATAGTGTGTGTGCAATATTATCCTATATGAACAGTGGGAAATATTGTTGCACAAACACAACTCCTTGATCTTGTTTGATTGTCACCTTAGGGTTTCAAACATTGGACCATGAGGATCAGATTGCGTTGCTGAAAGGGTCTGCAGTTGAAGCCATGTTCCTCCGCTCGGCAGAGATTTTCAATAAGAAACTTCCTGCCGGACATGCAGACCTGTTGGAAGAAAGAATTCGAAACAGTGGTGAGTAAAGAGTTTGTTAATCCGAGTAAAATTGGTGCACATACCATGAAGATGGGCCCTAATCTACCAGGCGACATTATATGACCCTGTGTCTATAGATAAGGACTTTGGGAATCTTGGCTCAAAAATCTTTTTGGTAATAGCAAAATATTCTTCTCTGAGCTAAGATTAAGGATGAGAAGAAGACTTCTGAAATATTAAAAAGTTCATCTCATTGAAAATAATGCAACAGAACTGTGTTTATCCAGTTCAAAAAAGACTCATTTATTCCCAACCTATACGTATAAAAGACTAGTATCAAGCTATTATCCATCCTATTCAAAATAAAACAAGAAACAATTATAATCAGTACTTACATATCACATACCAGATGCCAGACATTGTTCTGAATAATTTACATATGGTTTAGACAAAGTCTAAAATCATCCTACAAAATCAGTTCTAATATCATCCCCACTATACAGACAAGGAAGCTGAGAAAGAGCTACTCAGGTCTCTGAAGCCATGTCTTTTTATCTTTATTTTCCAATGATTGGAATTGAATAGGGTATTGCATGTGATGGGCATTTGATCTTCTACTGAGCTATATCCCCAGCTAGACACTATGCATTTAAAACAATATACTACACTACACATTAAGAGGCAAAATTTAATCATACTGTCAATACTTCAGCTTAGCTTATTGTAGAGGAAAGCTATGGCAGAGAATGCCAGGAGACACTGGGATGAATTTCCATAAATTTGCTCAATTTTTCTTGGGGGGATCCTTAAAATAAGATGTTTTTATTTAACTATGAGGTTATGTATGGGTTGGGGAATGGGGTTGGATGACATGAGATGACCCTAAAGATATTATTCTGTGCATGACTGGAATAAGGTTGAAGAGTTCTAAAACCATTATTCTAGAACAGTGAACAGAAGGAAATATGCATTTGTATTATACACATATATGTGTATATATAAATGATTGTCATTTCAAAATGCCTTATTGAAGTCACAGTATTTTCTTAGTTAAAAATTGAGTTATTTTCAAAACCCTTATTTATATTTCACAAAACCTTAAAGTATAACTGCCATCATTAAAGTTTGACAATGCATATTTGTAAAACATACATTATTGTCATGTAGCCGCTGATTTATTAGCTTAATGAGTATCTAGAGGTGAAGCGCTAAGGTGAAGGGATTAATCACACAGGCTGCCTCCCTTATGAAGTGTAAGGTCTAATAGAGAGAGGGGAACTATACAAAGTCTGGTAGAACGGAAGAGCAGCCAGCTTAGAGTTGGCTTCTGACTGGGAAGCATCCTAGTCTAGAAGGTTTTGTTAGCATTTGAACAAAGCCTTGAACAGTCCTTCATCTGAATGCTTGGGGTGCATTTATTTGTCAGAAGGACCAGTGTGGGTGAAGGAATAAAGACCAGGAATTTTAGGTATGAGGTTGAGGCAATTGGATTTAGGCTTAAAATAAAAGGGAATAGGGAGGGAGGGAAATAAGACTAGATGGTGAAGGGCCTTGAACGTCAAGCTAAGGGTTTTGATATTTTCTAAGTGATACGGAGATGTTGAAGGACACAATAAAAGTCTGCCAGATAAATGTCAGGAGATAGATTTTATTTTTCACATGGGTTAAGATCTTGTTTTAAGTAGTGTGTGTGTGTGTGTGTGTGTGTGTGTGTGTGTGTGTGTGCCTGCCGGTGTTTCTAGGGATAAGTGCTTACAGACTCATAAGACATCTGTAGAATTAATAGGAAGAAGAATGGACAAATGAGTCAAGGTTTGTCTTCAGCTGTCTTGTCTGCTACTTGCTTCCCTGATGAGTCTTCCCAGGCATCAGAGTTCCTGGTTCTTCCCACCCTGAACATTAAGGAGCATGAAGTTTTTCCAGACCTTCCTGAAGTGGTTGTTCGGAGGGATCCACATCTGCTAGGGAGCTGAGTGCAAGCCGAGGGGCAGGCAGTGTGGGTGCAGGAATTCCGCTGTGCCTGCTCCCCTCCTCAAGATGTGTCATGCAAAGTTTGTTCAGGTGCCACGTAACAAAGAGGAGTGGGTATTCTGGTACAGAAATTAATGTTTTGATGAGTAGAGATCTGAAGGCGAATTAATCAATTACCCAGATATTCTAGTGTTCTCTCTGTCTCTCTGTCTCTCTCTCTGTGTCTCTGTCTCTGTCTCTCTCTCTCTCTCTCTCTCTCTCATTCCCCCCATTACTGGATTTCTAAGAAGAAAATTCTCAGTGTTATACAAGAAATTTCTGCATCATCTATTATTATCTGTGTTAATTGTGGTATCCAAAGTTAACACTGACTCAGTTCCTGCTGTGGGCCAGGCTTCATTCTAACTCCGTAAGCTTTGTGTATTGCAAGAAACAACTAAAGGACGTGATTAAATATGCAAAGGGTTAATGGATGGAAATCTCTCTGAAAGATAAAAGGGAAGGAAGTGGGATTGGTGAAAGACAGTGCTTATAGCACCATGTTGATCTGACACCTGTGAGAGGAGAGAGGAAGGCTTGATTGGGAAGAGATGCAGAGCCCAGTGTGAGGTCTAACCTAGGCTAATGGAGAGGGATGAGGTAAGAGATACCCCCATGAACATGCTGGCTGTGATCATCAGCCAGTGGCTTGGATGCAGCTGACATCAGTGTGTTCTTAACAGTCACAGGGTCGCAGCTCTCAGGCTACCATGGTCCTACTATGAATTCATCCACGTGGGGCATTATCATGGCCCAGATCTTGCATCATAAATATACACAATTTGTTCTTTGGTCACTTAGAGATAGATTTTTATTAACACTGAATATCAATACGTCTCCTCTAAAAGCTGCAGTGCCTGGGTTTTTGGTAAGTTGGGACAGGAGACAGAACCATCTAATGCTCCAGCTCACTCACTTCTATTTTGACTCAGGCAGCTCTTTCTTTTAAAGTGATTCCATTTATTAACCATCATCCATGAGTCCTCCATTCACTGGCGGGGCTGTTCCTTTCCTCTGTGTGCACCCATGCATGTGTTTGTGTGTGTCTGGAAACATGTGCATCATGGTGGACCCATGGAGAGTAGAGGACAGTCTCAAATGTTGGTTTCCCCTCGGGCCCTGTTTGAGGTAAGGTCACTGCTACTCTCTGCTGCACTGGCCACTCTGCAAGCTATCAGCAATTGTCCTGCTCCTGTACATTCCCCCCAGGAAGGGTGTGCTGCAATTGCTGATGGTTGTACTACTATGTCTGGTGGGTTCAGAGAATCCAAACTCAAGTGGTTAGGCTTGCATGGCAAGCACTTTATCCACCGAACAACCTCCTATCCTACCACAATGGCACTGCTTTTTGCCTGACCCCATTTTCCTCGTCACTTAGCTTCAGACTTCTGCTCCATCAATATGATCCTTTCTTGGACTTTTGGCAGGACATACTCAACTCCTTACTTATTTTGGGAACATGGTTTTGAGACAGAGTCTCATATAGCCCAGACTGGCCTTGAGCTCACTGTGCAGCAGAGGATGGTCTTGAACTTTTTATTCCCCTGCCTCCACTTCTCAGTGCTGGGATTTCAGCCATGTACCACCACGCTCGCTTTATGCTGTGCTGGGACTTAAATCCAGGGTCGTGGGGTGTGCTAAGCAAGCATTGAGCCACAGGTCTTTGCTTTTCCCTCACCCAAGAAAGTGACTTGCCTGAGTGAGTACAACTCATCACTTGCTTGAAGCTGAAAACTAAGAGAGCATGGTTGTCTCACCTTAGGTTACTGACCATACATTTCAAGTACAACAGAGAACTCTCAGCTTGTAAGTCTTCCCCAGTCACTCAGAATCTTATGGAAACCCGTCGTCTTGTGCTTCTTCCTTCGTCAAACTTCCAATCGTCCTTCTTCATTCTTAAGTAATTACTTGGTTGGGAAAGGTAGATTTTAAAACCATGGAATGCACTCAGATAAAAGTGCTGATTTTCCATTCTAGCATAGTGGTCCCCAACCTGGGGTGATCCACTTCCTACCTTGGACAGCATCTGGAGATATTTTTGATCGCCACATTTTGGGAAGAGGACACTACTAGCATCTGATGTAGAAGCTAGCCACTAGCAAACAATTTAGATAGTTCAAGATGTCAGTCGTGCCAAGATTGAGAAATTCTGCAGTAGAAGGATAAACTGAGCACTGCGGCCACTGTATGTGTGATGCCTCCTGCAGCAAATGTTGTGGAAATGTAGGGAGATGTGGCCCATGCAGAGGCCTTTCTATGCAGTTACTCCGTTGTCTTCGAACAGATACATGTTGAATGTTGGGGTTGCCCCGCACACAGAACCGTCCAGTTGTTGAGGATAGGTGGACAGCAGACTGCCTGGCCTTTGTCCTTCAAGAACTGCAGACTGGTGGAGAAGGTAGAAAAGCATCAGGAGGGAATGCTATGTAAATTGGAGCACGAAAGAGTGCTCACATCCCTGTGCAAGTGCATTTGATAGGCTCAGAAGTTGATGAGTGACTCACAAAGGATGGTTAGGAATGTGTCAAGCTATGAAAGTGGGGACAGAGCGATGCAGGCACAGCAGAGCAAGGATGTGGCAAAACGAGGGTCTTTCTGTGTCCAGCATTCCCAAGTGCCCTGCTGTTTTAGGAGGTATTATTGATGAAGCTGAAAATGCATTAGACTATTAAGGACACTGAATACCACAGAAGTAGTTTAACATCAGTACAATGGACAACCTTAATATTCTGAACAGAGGCATCATGATCTTAGTTCTACCACAGAAAGGTCCTCCTGGCTGTAATGGAGATGCAGAGCTTTGGGGGCTGAGAAGAAGCCAGGAGACATAGATAGAAACAAATGGAGTATCTAAGTGAGGAGTGATGAAGCTCTTTCAGGTTAAATAGGTGTCAGAGTCTAAAAAAATCTTTATTTATAACATTGTGAGTTTCAGAACTGTGGTTTTTCAAATTTCATAAAAGTATGGTGATAGTTTTCTAAAATATAACCTATGCTGATAAATATGCATGTCTCTAGTTTATAATAAG